GAGATAGTCACTTCAACACTGGCCAGGCACGGTGTCTGCTTTACTTATATAGAGCCAGCTAGCAGCCAGCTTCGCGTGAGGTCAGCTGGTGATTTCCAAATCAAATCACATCGAGGTGAGAGTCCCTCGCTTCAACACTGGCCAGCCACGGTACCTGCTGTACTTATATAGAGCCAGCTGGCAGCCAGCTTCGCATGAGGTCAGCTGGTGATTTCCAAATCAAATCACATCGAGGCGAGATAGTCACTTCAACACTGGCCAGGCACGGTGTCTGCTTTACTTATATAGAGCCAGCTTCGCGTGAGGTCAGCTGGTGATTTCCAAATCAAATCACATCGAGGCAAGAGAGTCACTTCAACACTGGCCAGGCACGGTGCCTGCTTTACTTATATAGAGCCAGCTAGCAGCCAGCTTCGCGTGAGGTCACATCTTGACTTTAAATCACATCACCACGAGGCACGATAGTCACCTAACCACTGGCCAGGCACGGGGCCTGCTTTACTTATATAGAAGCAGCTGGCAGCCAGCTTCGCATGAGGTCAGGTCATCACCAATTTCCAAATCAAATCACATCGAGGCGAGATAGTCACTTTAACACTGGCCAGCCACGGTACCTGCTGTACTTATATAGAGCCAGCTAGCAGCCAGCTTAGCGTGAGGTCAGCTGGTGATTTCCAAGTCAAATCACATCGAGGCGAGATAGTCACTTCAACACTGGCCAGGCACGGTGCCTGCTTTACTTATATAGAGCCAGCTAGCAGCCAGCTTAGCGTGAGGTCACCTCTTGACTTTAAATCACATCACATCGGGGCACGATAGTCACCTAACCACTGGCCAGGCACGGGGCCTGCTTTACTTATATAGAAGCAGCTGGCAGCCAGCTTCGCATGAGGTCAGCTGGTGATTTCCAAATCAAATCCCATCGAGAGAGTCACTTTAACACTGATTTAAAACTGCTTAGTTACGGAATGAAAAATTTCGACAGCTAAGATTTAAAAATATACAATTGTTACGATTTTTCTATTAAGAGAAAGCTATATGGTCTTTCTAATTTTGAAAAGTGTGTCAGATAAATTAAATGTGCAGGAATGGGAATTACAAATATGACATAAACGGCGAAATGTTTCTTTTTGTTCAAAATTTGATTTACAGGATTTTAAAAGTAAGGCTCTAAACTGCCACGAAAAGCGAACCGGCCCGGGCTTGTAATAAGCAATATTCATACAATGGAATTAAGAACTATATTTATTTCTTGGTTTATTTGTAAATTCTTGTGCATACACTTTTTAAGGTAAAATTTTTTGGTATAAAATAACCCTGGCTTCTTGGCCAATAAATGATTCGACATGTACATATGTATTTATGTAGTTAAATAGTATTTTTATAATCCGTTAAATAATCGAAATGAAAAGTACAAGTTAAATATTAGACACATAAAAGTTTTGTGAATAAAATTACATGAGTTTCAAAACTATTAAATTAATTCAACAACAAAATCTATTAATGAACAACTTATTAGTATATTTATGTTTGTTAATATCATGTTAAGTGAACCGGTTTTCCATCACCTACTAGCAACATAACAGCTATTAACCCGTTTGAAAACCGCTAAGACGCACTTGCTGTTTCATATGAAGAAATTATATATTCATATTTTATAAGGTTTTGGTGTTTGCATGTTTTTACGACGTTTTTTATTCAATTCATTTGCATTGAGTACACACGTTCACTATTACGGTGTGGAAATGTATATTAATTAATAGCGAGTATTTGGTGGATAAAATTAATATGAATATTCGAGTTAGTTAACGGCTACGAGTATAAATGGAATATATAGGTTGCAACTACAACTATACGGAGTATGGGTTTTTTGTTTTTGTTTTCAATTTTACAACTAGTAAGGCACATTGAAAGGATATGCATGCATATTGGTACATACACATACATAAAAAAGTATATACATATATATTGTTGTATATAGCAATGGCAATTTAAGTGGCAGCAATAATAATAATAATAATAAAAACCTAACTGTTTAAAGCAAGGCTTTTGAGGATATGAGCGTACTCAAAACTCTTCATGGGTTTTGGAAAAATGCAAATCTTGATTAAATGTGCCACCCTCGCTATCTTTCACTAAATCCACATATATTTCATCTTCCGCTTGCTTTGTGGGTGCGTCTTGCTCTGGTTGTACATAAGGGAATTCCAATTCGCGATCGCTCTTCAAATGCACATTACCATCACTGTTCATGGCTGAGGTCACCTCCGAGTCTTCGGTGTCTGAAATGTAACCCGATTCACCGGTATAATGTGTGGGGAAGAGTATTAGTGGCGCAGCGCTAAAGGCTAGCAAATCACGCTGTGGGAAGTGAGAACTCCAAGTTTTGTTCGGATGACGATTAAACATTAACGGTAGAAATTCATCGACTGGCAGCAGTTTTTCCAACGGTTTTGCGGCGAGTAGCTTGCGTGCGCCTTGCAATGATATAACATAGCCCAATGTCCAATATGAGTAACCAGCATGCACAAGATTTTCTGCACCTTGCACCCAAGGTTCCTTTTCTTCCTTCAAACGTTTGCGGCCAAAGTAACTGTGGGTTAATAAATATTTTAAATATTCATATTTAATATGAATATATTTGGAAACTTACACTAAATCATATTCAACAACATTGCGTATTTGCGAGAGCACGCGTATGGCACTATCTTTGAAGTATGGCTGGAAGCGTACGTCATCTTCGAGAATAAGCACTTCATTTTGCTTACGTTCGACAATATTTTCCCAAATGCGATAGTGACTCAAAAAGCAGCCGATTTCACCCATTGTCATTTGACGGTGAGAATAGGGATCTTCATAGCCAGACAGGTACTTGATACCCATATCTTCCAGTAACTCAGTGGTTAGATTTCTGAAAGAGTTTTTAATATAATAATGTACAAATAAGTATTAATTTCTACAACTTTTAACATACTTTCCGTCGACGGCAGGAAAATATTCAACATCTAGTCCTATCTCGAGGAAGAGTTTCTCCATTTTAGCGCGGCGCTCTGGGCGTCTTTCAAGATTTATCATGTAAATGTTATCCAGCGTGAGTTTGGTTCTGCAAATTAAAATTTGTAAATATATTATTTTTCGAATATCGAAATTCGCACTCACTTATTCGGATAACTGATGTACGTCTCGAAATACGCATTCACTGGCGCCACTTCATCCTGATCATGTACGATATTTGCCCGTATATTTATCAGCTGCTGCATGTCTTGATCTAGACCATCGTTTACTTCAAGTGGTTGCATTAAATAACCAAATGGTAGCTTATTACTGATGAACATGGGTATACGTGAACAATTTGCCGATGTAGCGAAAACAATAATATCATCGACTGGCCCATCGTACCGGCGACATGGTGTGAACCCTTCATGCTCTGCCCATTCGACCTCATTTTGTTGTTGCTCAAGAAGCCGTTCACGATTGAACGTAAGATAACGCATGCCCTGATAGTTCACTCTTATCAGCACAGCACTATGTACCATTGGCACAGGGAAAACACCTTCCTTATTAACATTGTAAATTTCTCGGTATTCGTCCGTGCGTTGATAGTAATAATCGGGTGTCATGCCACACCAAAAATTGGAGTACAAACCTTCGGACAGTAACATTGGTGCAGCAATGGGCAATTTTAGACTAGTCAAGTGCGTTAGGGTGTCGGGGTGTGTTAGCAGTACATCAGCATCAAGGAACTGTAAGAAAATTTAAGAAAAGAAAACATAATTAGTTGGTGTGCATTGAAAGTATTGTGAACGTTTTAATAATTACAAATATGTAATCAGCCCAAATCTTCTTAGCATAAACCAATGCTGTTTCTTTTAAGCTTATGAGATAGTGAAAACGTTCAGCAGGCCAATCGTTCGGTGTACTCTCATTTTGATGACGTTGCACACTGTCGTCATGCTCGAAATCGACACTGTGATATAAGTTTGCGGTGTGATTAAGCCACAGCTGCAGCAGTTCTGTGCTCGCATCGTTATTGTGATCCGAACGTATCCTACAATTGGAAAATAAATGTATCATACATGATTATCACTTTAAAATGTGTGTATACATGCTATAATATATGGTATATGGGCTACTTACCATAGTGCTATTTGTTCTTTTGGATAGTTTAGGCGCTCGAAGTAGGTTAGGAACAACGGTAGAATATGTGCCTTGTTGCGTACCAAAAGCGCTACCACCACATTTGGTGGTTCATCGCCTAAATCAGACGGCAACAATTCATACAGATCATCGATGCTTGGCACCACAACGTGCGTCGGCGTCTTTGACTTGACGGTTTCCGGTGTCGCAACTGCGCTGCAATAATAGGAGCTCAGAGCGAATAGCAAAGTATAAACGGCGATTTTGCACATCTCAAAGCTAATCGCAACGATGCTCTACAATGATTTTTGGTATGAAGTTTAAAAATCGACAGCACTTTATTCCATACGTTTGTTCACCACTACAGCGCAGAACGTTCTGAGACGATAAATGCGAGTTTGCTGTTAGAAATCTATTTTAATATACGAGTTTTAATTACTTGACTGCTGCGGCATCACTTTACTTTAAACAGACGCTAGCAATCAGAAACCGCATACAGACAAACAGAAAATATGACGTTTCTTATCATAAACAAATCGTTTCACAGTACTTTTGTTGTTGGACAGCGGTTTACGGAAGACAATGGGAAATGCTAATGGAAACATGTGTTGTTTATGTGCTACAGTGGCTTGCAAATTGTAACTAAAGTAGGGTTGCTATTCAGATTTTTTTTTTGTTTTGTTTTTCTTCAAAAATATTGTATTTATAATGTTTTATTTACAATAGTAGTCAGGAGGCAGTCAATAAATAATATTATTAGACATTCATGCTTAATTTGCTAAAACAATATTACAAATATGCATTACGCTACATGAGGACGTGCATAGCTAGGCATTTGTAATTTCAAGCCTTCTTTTGATTCAAAGAAAGTGTACGATAATGTTATCGTATCAACATTTTCCAGTTTCGGATCTTTTGTAAATTCCGGATCAATATAGAAGAAAACAGGCATATCCACCTACAAGAACAAAAATTATATTTCATCTTGCATATTAACTAGATTGAAATAGTTTACCTCCTCGTGTGGATTTAATTGTTGTTCTTCAAAGCAAAAACACTGTATTTTGTTAAAATATGCACCAGCTTCGAATGGCAGCACGTTGTAGGTGCTAATACCAATAACTGGCTGATCTGTGGGATTGCGAGCTGTGTAGAACGCCAATGCCGTTTCGCCGGGCACTACTTTGATCTCATATTGTTGCGGTTTAAAATTCCAACGCATCGACGCGGCAATGTCCGCATTAAAACGTATTTTCAATATGCGATCTTCAATTTTCTGCATTGTTTCTACTTTATCGGCATCGTGTCCTTGCGACGTTGTGCCGCCGTAGCTGTATGCCTAGAGTATTCAAAGTTTTTTCTACACTTTTCTTCTTAATAGTAGAATTGCTCACCTGGCAGAACATGCGATATAGTGGTACCGCCGCATAACTGGCACCAGCTACGAAAATACCTCCAGCAGTTAAATAATATAGCGTTGACTTTTGCCGTTTCCGCGCTGCTTCACCGGCGGCTGTACCACTTTTACCGCTTGTAGATTGAAAACGTAGTCGACACGCGCGCTTGCCTTGTGTTCTTAATAAGTGTAAGGTTCGTAACATTCTTTTTTATTAGACTAAATTAGTAAAATTAACTAGTAATTTATGTTTTTATGTTGCCTTACGAGCAAACTCGTAATATTTACAATTTATTTTGTAGGTTAAACAGCTGTTTAGATATTTCCTGAGCCACTGTGTGTTTACTTCGGCGCTGAGTGTGTTCAATTGCATAAAATTACAGTGGCCTTCAAACGTTGCTAGGAAACGGTTATATTTACGTTGACCAAACATATTTGTTGATACGCTAAATAATTTTAACTTTCGCTCGAATTCAGTGCAGTTTTTTTTTGCGAATTTGTTTTATAAACGTCGCATATATACTTACTTTAATTTTCAAAATGTAAAACTCTATAAACAGACGGTAACATACTTTTTAAATATTTAGTAAGTTATCAGTGCAGTTTTCTTCGCTTTTGCTTGTAGATGAGCGGATACGGCTGCTATAGCTGCCATCTTTAAGTCTATAAATACATTTGCACTTCCGCTTAGTTAAACAAAATTTTTAAAATTAAGATCTTTTTTAAAATATTTAGTTTATTATGTAACTTTTTTCTGTTCGGTTTATTAATGCCCGATTTTGACAGATATGAATTTCAGCGACGATCCATTGGCGGACTTGCTTAGCGACAATAGTTTAGACAATGACACCTTCTTCGATAATCCAACAGGAATACGTACTACAGCTCGTATTAATAAAAGTAAAAATAAATTAGATGATTTATTTGGGATTAAAGAAGAAAGTGAAACGACAGTATTGCCAGTCCCTCAAGCACGCCAACCTGTGCCACCAACAACTGTAACTACGAGTACACCACGCACAACTAACTATCAACAAAAGCCTTTCAAAGATATGCTAGAAGATGACGACGATGATGATTTGGGTTTCGATCCGCAGAAACCAAAAGCCGGCGGTAAATTGAATTTGTTGGACGATTTGTTTGCGGGCACAAGCGTTAAGGAGTCAAAAAGACCCGCTACCGCGCAACCCTCGACTGTGCGTCGTGATACAGAGAAGCCTCCTATATCGCGACAATCAACAGACACCACCACCGATACCTCAAATGTATTGCTAATACAACCACGTCCTAAAACATCGGCGGGAAGACGTAGTTCCAGTGCGTCGAATGTAATGACGACCGATCTGTTAGGTCTATTTGGTGGTTCCATCACCAAAGAACGTGAAAAAGAACCTTCTACCTCGGGCATGTCTACGCCAAAAGCTAGAAAACGTGGTACTACCGCAGACTGGCTTGGTTTGGGTACAGACTCGGAAGTTGCTGGTAAGTCTGATAACGTAACAGACTTACCAATGCGCACCTCAAAACCGCCAACGACTACTTCGCTTACCACAACTGCTAGTACCGCAAGAGAAACTATAGACATTTTGAAGCTGCCTGATAATGAGATACATGCGCCCCTTGTGCAACATGCTGAAATGCATGAAGACACGTTAATGATACCACAAGTTGTAACTTCTGCCCCAACTGGCGACAGCACAGCACAAAATATACTATTGCTAAATACCCAAAATTTGGAAATGAAGAACGCTTACACCGCTCTGCAGCAGCAAGAGTCTCAACTTGCGTTGGCGGCGCAGATGAAAAACCAAGAACGCGCTTTGCTGGAAATGCAGCGCAAGCAAGAAATACTACTACAAGAACAGGATCGGCAGTTTCAGGCATTAGTACAACAACAGCTAAAGCGTCAGCAACAAATGGAGGATCATATTAAGATGCAACAGCAACGAATCAACACACATATACAACTTCTGATGACACAGCCTGCCTTGCTGCCGTCTTCTATATTATTACCGCCGACTAAACAAGCGTCAGAGATTGACACCTTAGGTGAGCGCATTGGATCTCCAGATGGTACACCAGAAAAATCTGACGACGCCGGTGGAGCTTCGGACGAACGGCGTGGCCGCAATCGCAGTAATAGCGGCAGCCGTAGCCGCAGTTACAGCCGCAGTAGACCGGCCTCACCGCCGGACCTCATGCTGGAAACGGTACAACATGAAGCTGATGTCAAGCGCTTGCAGTTAGAAAAATTACGCCTGGAAGAGTTGGTGGCAAATCAAAAGGTCAACTATGAGCGCGAAATTGAATTGATAGAACGTTCCTATAAAAAGCAATTAGAAGTTGTCGAAAACCATACAAACTCAATTGAAACGCGGTTAAAAGCAGAACTGGAAGAGCTTACTAAGTACTACAAACAAAAACTGGATACGTTGGAAAGCGAGAAGGAAAAATTAAAATCAGAATACGAAACCGACTACGGTAACTTGAAGCAGGATCACGAAGATGAGTTACGCAAACTAAAAAAATCGCATGAGGACGACATAGAAATGTTAAGGGAAGAACATCGACGTATGCTGGATAATGTGCGGCAAGCTAAAATGCTTGAATTTGCCGCAGTACAGGAGAATGGCTCATATATGGAGATGCTGAAGGCTGCCTCAAACAACTTAGAGAATCTCACTGGTGGCTTGCGGGGCTTGCGCGATGACGTACAATCGCGACTTGAGATGTTGCACAAAGAAAAGGAAAATAAGTTAGAGGCACGTGAACGTCGACTTGAAGACGCTGAACGACGTTTGAAGATGAACGAAGAATCCGCGGATGAAGAAAAAAAGCGCCTAATGACATTGGTTAGCAGTTTGGAGCAGCAACTAAATAAATTGTCAAAAGAATCGGCAGACGAAAACTGGATGCTGCGTCAGCGGATGGCCGCACTTGAGGCCGAGAAGGCGGCATTTGAAAAAGAAAAAGAGTTTGCACGCGAACAAATAACGCGTGATGAGAAACGTCTGGAGGAACTCAAAGAGCGACAATTAGATGAAATGCAACGCGCTTTGACGGATTTGCAAGAGGAACGAGCACGTCTTTATTTGGAGCGTACTAAGATTGAGACAGAGCAGAAACTTCATTCCGGCCATGATATTGAAAAGCAACGTTTAGAAATGGATGCCGTCATGAAAGTGGCGCAAGATGCGGCGCGTCAAGCGGATATTGAGCGTGAACGTTATCACAAGTCATTGCGCCAATTGGAACAATATAAACGCGAACTTATCGATAAGGAGAATACACTGCGCGCCAAGGAAGACGAACTACAGCAGGAAACCCTTTCTTTTCGTATGGCTGGACATAAATCACAGGAAGCGCTACAAAAAGCGCGCGTTGCCGAGCAAAACTTTCAAACCAAATTGCAATTATTACAGAAACGCTTGCGCGAAACAGACGAGATGGAGGTGAATCTCTCACAAGAGCGCATGCTTCTTACACAAGAACGCATTAAATTAGAACAATTCAAGGCGCGTCTCTTGCAAAAGCGTTGTGAACTATGCAAAATGGGGGATGAGCGTGAAAATATAACACAATATTTAAATAGCAACAATGACGAACATGTTGCGAATGATAATGGTGCAGCGGGCGATTCGATGCCACAGCAACGCAATCACATTCGCTCGGAGGAGCTCAAAATGCGGCAAATGTTGGAACAAGGCAGCATTGTGGATCGTATACTTGACGAGAACATAGCCGAGTCTCTGCGCAAAATGAGAGCATCAACCAACATGCAATACTGGCCGGAGACGGTGCTGGACGATGATGCCAAGGAGATGGCTCTACATAATTTGGATGGCAGTTTGTTACGAGGCAGCGTAGATAATTTATTAAGTCGGACCTCACACACCAAATATTAACGGTAGTAAATTTTATATGTATGTACAAAAGAATTTATACAAATTAAACGATATTGTCTTAAAAACAGATTGCGATCCTATTCAACTGGATAGAAAGATTTCCGTGGGTTAAAGAATGGTAGTTAATTGGACAAATGTGGTTCGAATAGAGATAATTGCTATTATGTTATTGTATTTTCATTCGAGGCTTTGTTTGTTTTTTCGTTGGGCCTGTGTTTTTTTGTGGTGGGTCCCAAGCTCTTTAGCTCACCTGCAAACGTTCCTGGCTACTCCTCGGTCAAAAACTTTCCTAACTTGCGTGAACTTCTACACATGGCCCCAACTTTTATCGCTGCATAGTTTATACGGCTATATAAACTGACAGTGGAACATACCAGAAGCACAACGAGAATTGGCAACGCCTTCGGTACAAAATGAGATTTCTGATTGGGTGACTCCTTATCGTGAGATTTCTTCAACCTGAAAATAACAAGAGCCGCAGAAGTAGGTAGACAAAGGAAAGTATTTTACAAATGTACAATTGCTGGCCTATTCCCGATAATATTGATATTATTGGCTTGAATAACCACGCCGTTAGTTCTGCTTTTTCCAGACTACTTTTTTGTATCGGTAGTGATATTAAGAGTTACGTTATATGTTCCATCTCAAAAATCCACATGAAATAATTGTATTTTTAGTGTTTATTGTATAATTTTATTATTAAAAGTAATTTTTTAAATTTCAAAGCCGTAAGTCTTACTTCTCTCTTTGTATAGTGGTAAAGAGAAATACTTTTCATTTATTTCTATTGTCTCGACTTCGTTTTGCTCCTGTTAATATGACAAAAATTTGATTTATGTATGTTACAAAATACTTAAACATATTAGTATGTACTTACAGTATGGACACAAGATCCGATAATAGTTTCTGCGGCAGTATATTGCAAATACACCTTTGTATGTGGTTAAATATGGAATACATACTTATGTAGATATTATTATGTAGTCACTTTGATTGTTTTGATTTACAAAGGTGAAAACTTAGCCCAATAAGCGACATTCAAATCTGAGAAAAAATTACATATAGAGTTATGTATGGTATGTACTTCTTCATACATACATATGAGTTTTTATTTATGTATATTGTCTTTGTTTTCATATAAAAAATAAAAACAATGCTATATGTACTCCCAAAAGTTTTAAAGCCACTAAACCACTCACCCCAGAAATGGTGAAAACAGAAAAAGGAAAAAAAAATCCGTTGACAATTTTCTGCACAACTTGTTTGTCTACTTATTTTTGCGCGCACCGTTTGAAGTTGTCAGTAAAAATGACATATTACTTTTGTAAAACTACTTTAATTGATTATTAATTCGAATAGTGTGATAAAGTTTCTATTTTAATATTCGGCAACACACAGAAACCTGTGCATTTGCATTTTCTGTTACTCATGAGCAGAGAAAATATTGATTATATACTTTTCAAGCGATATATTTATGGAAATTGTTGCGTTATAATAGTGAAGAGTGTTTTATTAAAAATACATTAATGTGAAGCGTGTTTGTGATTTAAAGGAAGCATTTATGTGTATAAAAGTGTTGTTAGAAGTTATAATAGATACAAGTTTCGTCCCGTCAAAGCAAATAACCTTTTTACTGAGTACGGAGGCGTCATACAAACAGTGTGAGCAGTAGTTGTAAGTATTGTAAGTTTCACAGCTGTCACAAAGGTTAGTTCCGTACGTATGCCTTGTTGATGGACGAGTGGACAGTTGAATGAATGCATGTGTTTGTTTTAATGAAGTTTTCATAAAACTAACAGAAGGTAGTAGTTAGTGATGTAGAGGGTTGCTATTGTTGCAGCTTCAATCTTGGGTGATAACTTGGCTGAAATTGCGTTTTAATCTGACAAAGATCGATTGAATTGCCCGACTAACGGTTTGAATTTGAATTGATTATATTATATAAACACTTCACTACTATAGAGCTAGTACTTTTTTCTTTGGAAGCAGAGTAGCAAAAACAAGTTTAATTAAAATTTATAGATACTTATCCATACAATGACCTACCAGTTTTTAATCTGATCAAAAAATTTTCGTTGACATTCAACTTTTTTTAAAAACGTCGTCATTTCGTAAATTTTTTGATTTTGGGTTTTTTTATAATTTATTCAAGGCGAAAGCCAACATCACTGCAGCAGTGGATTACCTTTTTAACCTTTAAATTACCATAAAAAATTTCCTGTTTATTCTTAAAATTTGTATAAAACACCCTTAAAATTTTAAAACAATTGATTTAGTCGTTTCTTTGAGTTTCTAAAAATCGCCTTTTTTAGGCTGCCTAGCCAGGCAGCCACTAGCTGTGCCCCTTAAGTCAAACATCTTACGAATTAACCGAAACGGTGGTGTCAAAGGGCATACATTGTCCTTAGGTTTTAATCTCCACAAATAACGTCACAAAAAACGCGTTATCAAAAAAAAAAGAAATTAAGTAAAGCGAAAGTAATTTCCTATAAGCATCTGCTTGAAGGACTTTTAGTTCATTTCTTAGAGGTACCTCTGCGGTTGGGATAACATAATCAAAAATGTAGAATAAACGAGAAAAAAAAACAAATTCACAAGTTGCATGTTACAATAAAAAAATCCACACAATATAGAATACCACACAGCAAACAAACAAAAAAAATTAAATTTTAATTCAAAGAAATGCGACAAATTGTTTTTGACTACTGTTGTCTCAACTTTTTGTTGTTGCATTTATTTTGATTTCACCTAATGCATTGGCGACTGCACCGAGCGCCCCACATACAATGCATTTATGCTTTATTTACATTTATTTTTATAAAATTCATTTTCCATCTACGAAGGAATGTCGCATGTACACACATTTTCAAAGCAACTGCCTTCACAATAGCCGCTTAGGCAGCCTCCTATGTTTGTTACAATGTCGACGCTTTGCAGGTTAGCAGAGAGCTACAAGTGTACATACATATGGACATCTCTCGTATGTATGCTGCGCTTTGTATAAATATTTACTAAGTTTTAACGGCAGAAAATTGAAAACAGCATCTTTTAGCGCCTCCAGCGTGAGTCCATCGGTGTAGCTGGTTGTAGAGTAAAATTATCTTTGTGGAAGGAGATAAAGAAAGTAAAATAATTGAAAAATACCGCTACAACAGCCAATATTTAACTAATGTAACGCTTACTTGCGCAAGCGTGTAGCGTCATTTAAACGATTAGCCGAGTTTTGTGATAACAGGCGGTTTCTAGGGGAACACTTTGTTGACTTTTCGTGTCGGCAAATTAACAGAAGTCGAAACACTGTTTTAGTATGAAAGTTCAAAAGAATAAGACTGTGTGATCTGCGGAATTATGTCTGCAAAGAATAGTTATTTAAATAACCGTTACTTGAAAGTAAATTTCGGTAAATTTACATTTGCTAATTAATAAAGTTAATTGTCATACATAAGTGTGTCGGTTAGCCTTTGAAGTTTTATTCTTATTTGATGTGTGATATTTCGAAATGTCTATTAAAATTTCAAAATTGTTTGGTAGTGCACATATTGACTGTTACATACAACCGTATGCACAATGAAAATATAGAGCAAAGAGCTTCTACGAGCATGTGCAGGAGGTTCTTTACTGTCAAAATTATTTTCTTTTTGGTTGAATATCGATTTCAATAATATTTAGTTATTTATAAAACATAATCAGATTATACTATAGTTTCCTTAGATTCCTACGGCTACTACTAAGCATAATTTGAAAAAATTTTACGATCACGAAGTGGCACTCCGTCTGTTGAAGATGTGTGAGGCATCTCAAATAATCGTGTAGATCATATTCTGAAAAAATTATTGCCACGAATCACAATCGTGAGAGCACGTCACAGCAGTGTTTTATGCTGTCGAGACCACAGAGTGTCAACAGACCATGAACTAGTTGAAACAGTGGACTTCACCCACCGAATTAGCTTCATAGAAAGAGTAAGCTGTTCTGTCGGCCGGTAAGATAATGATCACCGTTTTCTTGGGATTCACAAGGTTTATCTCGATCGATCGATTATCGGACCGATTCGATGCCAAATTGCTAAAATGACCAATTCTTTTCCTCCATGACAACGCACCGGTTCTCATCTCTGCTATCACCACGGCTTAAGTAGTTGAATTATTGTTCCATCCGCTGTACATATTATCCATTTTTTGTACTGTGCGACTTTTTTGTGTTTCCAAAATTAGAAAAGTCACTCGGCAGGAAGAAAAATGAGTCGAGGGTATCTCCAAGAAACTAACTTTTCCAATATTTTCGGACCGACCTCGGAGTGTAAAAGGTGAAAATTGTCTATCAATATTTGTGAAAACAACTACCTAAAAGTAGTATAGATGCCACAAAAAAATTGTCAACATAAAAAATTTTATATATAAATATCTTCGATTTTTTTATGTTTTTCTTAGTTGCATATTTAATAAAAAATAATTATCAAATCTGCTCTTGTTCTTATATCCTTTCAGTGCCATAAAAAGTCTGAGAATTGAATATAATCCAGCTTTTATGTGACTTAGCGGCAAAAATAATTACATTTGCGAAGTCGCAAAGGTGCCGATTCGGACCTTTTTGCAACAATGGCCAAAACGAGCACCCGCAAAACACAAAACAACACTGAAGGTGAGCAATAAAAACCATTTAAGTTCTTATCCTGCTAAAGGCACACACTGATCAGCACATAACTATATAAACAGTTATATGCATATGAATGAATGTGCATAAATGTAAGGAGGTTGCCAAAATAATACATTGAATGTACATATATGTAGATATATTTATGTATGTACCGCATTTGTGTGAATAAGCACATGTGAGGATAAACAAACAACACCTTGCAGTGATTTGTAATTGTCATATTTAACAGAAATCCCTACAAATGATTTTTGCACAGGAGTCATACATATGCATTCATATAAGTGAATATATACATACATACCTACATACATATGTGTCCATTTGCAAGTAGTGACAAGTAAAAAGAAAAGGATGCTGGAAATGGAAAGTAATAACAGTAGCTAAGAATGAATGGGAGCTGTAAGATTCTTAAGAATATAATCAATTTTCGGGGATTAACAGACGGACTTTTCCCTACCGTCTACTAGTCAGCCACACATACATACATACATAAAAGCATACATTCATATAGTATTGTGTATAGGTGTGGCGCTGATGTTTGTGTATGGTATATGTAGTAAACAAAAGCATATAAGACAAGACAGTCAACACAGTAGTGGCGGCTTACGAAAGGATCAATCGGTACACTTGGTCACATATTATACCTGCTTGTCCAAAAATAAACCATTTCAGTAGCAAATACAAATTGTATATGGAAAATATAAATGGCTATGTTTATATTTATATTTTGTTTAAAGATTTCTATCGATTTTCATTCTTATTCGGTAGCTGCGAAGTAGCCCCTTGTCTTAGTATCTTTTCTAGCTATTTTCTTACTAGTTTAGTTCTGATCAATTGTAGAGTAAAGGTAACCTCAAAACCAGACACTTTACAAATTGGGCTCTAAAAATTGATCGATTTTATATTACAAAGAGTGGGCTTTTTATCTTATTTGAGTGTCTTTTGGTTCATAGCATAAAGCAGTTTATCTGTATATTAGGCCAGCTTCAGACTACGATAAGAATTTTGAAATGCAGTCTTCTTCTATGCTAGTCCCCCATTCGTCTACTTCCAACTTTTGATACTATTTTTTAGTATGATTGTTTATTTATATTCTTTTGAGACCAAAAAGGTATTGGGGCCAAATCAAAGGATTATGGTGGATCTGGAAACAATTTAGAGCATATTTAACCCACTTCTGCACTTATGAAGTACCAAACTGAGCTCTCGTGGCACCCACTTTTCAAAGAGCTTTGTAGGTATACCAACATATTCATGAACGATATGTCTTTTTAATGGTAGTCAACTTCTCTTTACGGGTCATTCTAAATTATTTCGTCCTTTTTTCGAATTTCGACCGTAATAAAATTTTTTGACCATCTTGGTTATCCTGGAGGTTTGTCAGATTCGAATCGATTTCGATAAGCCTTAAGCCAACCTTTGCTGTCAGCAGTATTTTTTTCACCAAATCGCTGTTTTAGTATTGTTGTAAATTATACAAGGTTATGTTGAAGGTCAGGTTAGAATATATGAATTCTCTTATAGTGATGCCGTATCATTGGAGCTTCTTAGACTGCCTGGTTTATACATAAGTATATTTGATTATTATTTATTCCGCCATTTCAAATAATTTTTGTGTTGCATAATTAGTTCAGATTCCCTCGATAATAGGCAGTGTTTATTGTTGAATTGATGAAAACTTATGTATATTTATGTATGGATATATCCAAAAAGGGATTTAATTTTAACAAACAGCTCATTGCGCTTGTCCCTCGGCAAAGAATCATTTATAACAAATGCTTAGCTAAATTACGCTCCTCTTCAAATGGGATTTGATAACTCAATCACTCGAGGAGCAGTGTAATTATCCAAACACTCAAGTCATTTGGTATGCACAACAACAACACATTTGCTTTGCATTACACATATTTATCCACTGGCTACCCAAGCTCTTGCTACTCTCCCATTCTACACAAGTGGAATGCTGAGAAACTTAAATAGTGTTGCAAGCGAAAGTGGAACGCAAATGACACACAATTGTCAACAGTTTGTATCAACATTAATCAAAATCATCACTTCAATTTAGTGTGATTTATTTATTTTGCTTAATTTTTTCGGGTGGACTCGTATTTCGACAAAATCGGCATTGAATTTTAAAGCAAATAACATTTAAGACTCGATTAAATTAAAATTAAAATTATTAAAGAAATCTAAGCATTTGGGATTCAGTTGAGACATTTGTTTTAAAAAGCTTGAAGATGAGAAATGCGAGCTTTTTCCTCTCCGACTCTCAACTTAAATAGTCAAAATTAAGCCTTTGTTTAGGGCTTTAGACAGGTCTAGCCCCTTAGTAGTTTACATTTTTAAAAATAATATAATTTCAATCAAAATTTCTGTTTGAGGCTCATTAATACACATACAATAACAACTACAAATATATTATAGCAAATTCTGCGCAATAACAGTTTAAATTCAGTTATAAAATCGCGACTTCGCTACCAGTAATTTTATTGTTTTTGTTGATTTTGCTTGGTTTCTATTGTCATTCCCACTGATGAATTGAGAGGCTGTAGGCGCTGTATTAGTTAATGGAAAGGGTGAGGGCCATCGAGTAATGTATCACATAAATTTCGTGCACATCAATCACTGTCATTCGAGATTATTCCCACTGATGAGAATGCAGATGTGGTCGCTGAGCGCGAAGCGTTAATCAACACACATACATACATACTTTACAAGTCCATAGCTTGTGAAGCGGACAGGCCGGCAGGATGGAGGCAAATTTAGAAAATTTTACCAAATTTCAAATAGTTAAGGAGTAAAAGTGTGACGAAGCATTAATATTTAAATGATCACAGCCATCATCTGTACATATATTGTACTTATGTATGTACATAATGTACGTGCATAAGCGCAAGCACTTATTTACTTAGGGACGATATGCTTTATTTTAATCACTAAAAGGAGGAAAATGAAATCAGTCTTGGATTATTGTAAAATAGAGAATTGACAACTGCGTTGAGTACAAATTGAGCTACAATTAAGGAAATTAAAATGCAGAAACACAAAAGCGTTTTTTTGCTTTAACGGAAATTCAAAGTTTATAATAATAGTCTTTTTGTTGCACGACAATGATAAAAATCCACTTTTAGGTTTTAAATCTTTATATACTTTGAATTTTTATTGTTGTTGCTGTTTGTTTTGTTGTGACGGCGCGAAATATTCCCCACATCGTTTTGATAATTTAATAATTATTATAAATTCAGGTTGACACTACTTGGTAGGTTATGAATCCGAATCCGTTCTGGTTACGTAGACCCGACTATCGTGGAAACGGACGGGAACATGATACGTATATTCTTAGTTTGTGATAAACCTGTAATTATTTTCAGGACTGCTGCTATAGTGTAGGGGTTATAGGTTAACTTTATCATAAGGGTCCTTACCAATATAAAAAAAAAATTCTAGACAGTGGTTGTCTTTCGGTAGCTATTGGCAAAGCGTCTCTCTATCATCAAAAAGTTCTTAAAAAACCATTACCACACCGGATTTTCCTTACAAACATGTTGATTCCTCAGAAATTTGTCCAAACAAAACCAAATGAGGGTGAACCCCAGACTAATGAAGAGGAAGACGACTTTGAGAACTTTCTCAATCAAGGAATTTTTTCTCACTTAACTTTTCAAATCGCTTCTTAAGGATAGAAAGTGATCATTGAAGTTGTTTTTACTGTTTTCTACATAGATTCTTATTTTGTTGATACATTTTTTTGCGTTTTTGTTGTATATGCGTCTGCGTATGCGTTTTTATGCTTAATTATTCAAAGTATACATTTGCCACAATTGAGGAGTGTGACCAACCTTTTCAACTGGGTGGATCTGAACCGCCGCGCTTGTCTTTCTTACTTATTTAGAAATATTTTGCGACCACCCTCATATCAATAAAACACATGGTCGAGGCTCATAATACCATCCACAATTTTTCTGGAAAATACCTTTAATATTACCAATTAAAGAAAGAAAGAAAACCTCACAAACTCAATGAGAACTAGGTCAAGTTGTATGATTCTACCTTACGTTGTTAAAAAGAAATAATATACATAATAATATTGCTGCTAAAAATAAGAGGGTGTTTGAGTATGGCTCTTAAGATAATATATATTTCAAACCGTTGATGCATTTTAAATTTTAAGAAATTTTAAAATTTTAAATAGATTAAACATATAACTTATACATATTTGTTTTTTTAATCATATGAAAAAACCAAATAGAGAATTTCACGGCAAGAAAAAGGGGTCTTTGCCAAATATAAAAGGGTTCTCATGGAAATTCAGAATACAATAAAAAATGGTTAAAAAATGTATGACCCATCTAGAATAAAGTCACGACGCTAACCATTTTCCAACAAATGAGGCAAGCTTTATTTTATAATCTGCTTTTGAGTGGTTAATTAGTTTTCGGTGTAAGATTTTTTATGTAGGAAATGTTATGGAATTATAATTTTCGAAGTAGTTGGAATCCTTTAGAAATGTTAATTAATTTTTAGTTTCGACTCCATACATTTCTTTCTGCTGATCTAAATATTATGACCTCCGTAATTTTTGCAAAGATCAAAACATAAGCTGTGTCTGTTTTGTAATTATTTTTCCCAAGAGTCATTTTGAAGCACCTTATATAACAGAAGTGGTAATTTTTTTTCAAAATAAAATAGTGCAGAATTGACAGAAAAATCGCTTTGAAATTTATAAAAACCCAAGTGCAGTGCAGCAATGGCCATTTCTGTGAAAGAAACAGCAGCAACAACTACAGCAAAAAACATTACCAAATCGAAAAGTGAAACTGAAGTGATATTTTAATAAAAAACAAAAACAGCAAGAAAAAATATTCCAAAAATCAATATGAGCCAAAGAACTTTCGCACGTTTATCAGTGTTATTTTTGCTAAGTGAGTACAAAAAAGCCTAAGTATTTCAGCGTTATGAATAATTACATAATTAATGCATTTAAAACTGTGTGACACCTCTATTATTTGATCAGTGCACTTGCAATTCTTGCACGCGGCACCGCCACACTCGAGCAACGACATCGATTACAATGACAGCAGCAGCGCAAGCGGCAACGGCGGTGCCGGCAATGCGTTGGGCAATCTCTTCAGAGGCAACAACAATTCGCAAATGGATTACAACATGATGTTTACACATGTGAAGGATTTCTTCATGTATCTGCCGGTGATGATGACGACGCTTAAGGAGTCCATGTCTGGTTTTCCGAAGTTCGCCGAAGGCATACGCATATTGACTTCGAAAAATGGTCGCTTAGAAGGTGCAGACTGTAATTGTGAGAAAAATAGCAATGAAATTGATAGCCGACAATTTGGTTGACAGGTCCAGTTGCTAATAGTGATGAAAGCACATGAAGAGGAGTGTGGTTGGACGAAAGCTCTGATGGCGAAGCAATGAAAGCGCATTGACCTAAAAGCTCGCTAACGCTTTTGTAATGAGTAGTTTGTCTTTTTATACAATTTAATCATACATATTCTCATTATTTACTTTTTTTGGCGTATTTCTTCTGTAAGCAATTGTAATTAATATAATTAAACGTGTAAATAGTAAAATCGTAAAATATTTTCATGACAGAAGTGCACTGTGTTTTTATAACCTTTCATTGTATTTATCGCAAGTATTCAATCAATTCGCGTTTCGTGGTCGCAAAAGCTTACAAAAATGAGTCGCAGATAAAGTAGCGATGTCGCCACACTGATAAGTGGTACACGACTCCTTGTTAAACGTGCTTATGTTGCCTCCTTTATTTGTGCATTGACTCTCGTAGGTTTCACGATTGTCACTGAAATTATAGTCCGCACCCACGTTCACTCATAATGTGTAAGCTACTTTCAATAGCATCTTGTAACATGGCGGCGAAATGTATTGACCACAAAGCCTTCTTTTAGTCGTGTTGAAAGATTTGAGTATGGTACAGTGTTCTGACTTATAAATCTCATTGAGATTAATATAGATATATACATTGGTGAGCTGTAAACAGGTAGAAGAGCTATGAAAAGTTCTGCAGAGTCCTTACGAACTCTTATAGAAACATTATCGACAAAAATCAGTTATAGTGTAAGGATAAAATTAAAGGCGCCAGAAAAATGTGTCTCAAGTCTAATTCTTAAATCCTTATCTATTCCTGATACTCTTTACAAGGATCGATTATGATGACGACTATTTTCGTTTATCGACATTGTGTCCAGTTTTAGAACTGTTGTAGGGGAGTAGATTGAGTTGACAGTTATTATTTGGTAGATCATAGGGTAAAATGATGAACATGGTGGATAGCACTGTATACATGACTGGCTCATGACCTGATTGTTGATGCTGAACCTATTTTAGTTAGATTCAAGTTTAATTAAGTTCAGTGGCTTATCGATATATGACAAGTAGAAAAGACTTTCACTTAGGCAGTTGTGAACGTCGGTTATTTGTGATGGCAAGAACTCGTCAATGTAGATCAAAAAACTAAAATTTGCACGCAATGCGTCCATATTTAGACGCGAAACATGAGGCGGCATACCATATTGTTGGAAATAGAGATCGTCCGCGTCGATTTCTTGAAATTCCGGGAAAAAAATCGTCAACATCGTATTATAACGCTCGCCATTAATGGTAACGGTAGGCGCCATACTACAATCAGCACCAAACGGTCAATTTTTGGGGATGCAATTGTGTTTCCTGAACCACACGAGAATTTGATTCACCCCATTGGCGGCAATTTTGTTTGTTGACGAAGCCATTAAGCCAGAAATGGGACTCATATGAGAAGATGATTTTTCGATTAACGTTTCTTAACGTTTTTTTCGAGAATGTTAATAAGCTTGGACTATTTCCGTTGTAACAAAATGAACGTGACATAATCAAATGGCAAATCTTACTGAACTCACTGACAAAATTTGACACAAATTCGTAAACAAACATGGCCGCTACGAGTTGTCAAATTTACCCTATTAGTAGACACTGTACATGAAATGGGTTTCAAAGTCACCTTAAGAAGTAGTTAGTAAAAAAACTCGAACAATGCATCAGTATTTTTCTGAATAAAAAATCTCCTATTGCATATACATATATTCATCTTCGTGTTTCTACTCATGTGCCTCTCTTTTTCAACCCACTGTTCCAGACATTCGTTTGAGTCATTGCAAATATCTTGATTCTGATCTACGTCGGCGTTCAAGCGTTAACCACGCGAGCACCTTCGGCTAGTTTCGTATAACCGCTTGTCGCGCTTCATATAGCCTGGAGGCGAAAACTGCCAATAATTTTAATTGATTTTGCTGCCCTTTTGCTGTTGTCGTTGCACCTTCGCAAACACTACAGTCACCAACATCCGAAGAGGACAACCGACTGCTGTGGCAACACGATAAGTAGGCAGCTACATAGCATGGCAGAGAACATAGTAAGTACGTCGGCTACGTGGCCATAAGTAGTGTCACGAACAAGCGCGCTTATTGAAACTGTGGGCTGTTGGCTAAGTCAGAGGATGCTGGTTGGCAACATAAGTGCGTCTAGGCGCATTCACACAGACGATTGTTGCTGTTGTTTTTGTTGTTGGGATGCTGGTTGTGCTCAAATAACAACTTCAGTAGTTGACTGCCTGCTATGCTAGTTGGTGTTTAGTTGTGGTCTTGTTTTTGGTTTTGTTGTAGCTCTGCCTTCGGTTGCATGCTGCATGTTGCCCATTATTCAACATGAAGATGCAGTGAGTTCATCATGTACTTGCGCGACTGATTGCCACGATTCGTTGCTCGTGTACACGGAGGCCGAAACAAATGCTTGTGCGATTGTTGTTCCTGCAACGCAATGCTCTTGACTGTTGCGTGTTGTTAACTATGCTCTTGGTTGGGTTGTCATTGCAGTTGCGCTATTGCTACTTTGGTGTTGTTGTTGTGTTTACTGATGCTTCTATGCTCGCTATGGGGTTTTTTGTTGTTGTTAACGCAGTTCTTGCATTTTATGCGCTTGCTTGTCGTCGCAGCTGCTGCTTACATTGTAACTGTTGTTGTTGTTACTTCTGATTTCAGCTTATAGTTTTCTGATGATGCCAGCAAAGCGATTGCGGACCCGCAGCTGATTTTTGCTTGTGCAGCTTAGCGTTGTGACCAACATGAAAATGTCGCGTTTGTTGGCGCTTCTGTCATTATTGCTGTTGCTGTTATATGGTCGTTATTGTTGTTGTATTGCAACGTACATCAGCCCAATAGTCTGGCTACATAAGTGCTGCCGTCTAGTATTGACACTTCATTCGGCAGCAGTACGAGTACTCCACTTCAAAAGTCAAAATCAATGTCTGCTGGAATTTCTCCTATCTGTCTGCTTGGTAACTTCCCTTTTGTTATACCAGCGAGTAAAATGCGGTACTTAGGTATATTAAATGTTGGTCCGTATAGTGGTCGGTCATGATAGTTTATATATGTATATCCGATTTGGTTCATTTTTGTGTCTCATGTTTATTCTAAGAAACACTATATTCGAATCATTTCGGTCTCAATAATTTGATATTTCGATATTTATTACATAGACGTTTTTTTTTATAAATTTGCAATCAAAATAATAAAATCCGTTAACTTCTCTTGTACCGAAGGTATAAAATTCTTCCCAGGTGCATTTCTTTAAGCATAAAAAAGTAATTTTGTTGGTTTTGAAATATCAAAATGTTTTTCATTCAGGACTTGATTTTGATCGATCAGTTTGTATGACAGCTATATCCTATATTGGTGCGATATTGACGGTTCCATATTTAATATTTTTATGAGCAGCTTCTTGAGAAGAAGCGGACGTATTTAAAATTTCTGATCGCTGTCTCAAAAACTGAGGCTAGTCATATACAAACGGACAGACATGCGGTCATGGCTAAATCGACTCTGCTCGCCAAGCTGCTCATTACCATACTTTCCTCATAAACGAAAAATACCTAATAATTCATTGTATGCCCTAATTTAAATAAAAAAATTCAAAAATATGTCTATGTTTTTTTTTAATTTTTATTTTGCATTAAAGTTGTAATTACTCCTTATTTGCATGTCATTTGAGTTGTTTTGGGCTTGTTGTTTCATATGTTCAACTATTCTGAATTTTGTATTTACCATTATCACTACACATTGAAAATAATATTGTATGTATAATATTATTTGCTCACATATTTGGAATTTAATATGAATCTATGCTTGTATGTATGTATGTATTTGTATGTGTTTTTGTGCGCTCCGTGGCTCCAGCGGCTGAGTGAGGCAACTTACAAAGCTGGTCATAAAGGTTTAAAGCACAAATGTATTCAGATTATGTTAAAATACATTTCTGTTTAAATGCCTTTCTTAATTTTTTGGAAAAAATGTTTGCGTTGCCTGGTCTTCGGCGCTTCCAAGTTGCTTCTCTCAACCAATTCAACCACGCTGCAGCTTTTATTTATTATTTCAAACGAATTTTTGCATTTGTATTTGTAATTAAAACTTTCTGTCTGACATTTACAATGTTTTTTTGTTTTGTTTATACTAGAATACATTTTTATTTAATTTTTTGTTTTGGTTTTATTTTAATTTTTTGTTTGTTTTTGTTTTAACTTTTTATGTTGTTTTATTTTTTCTTTACTCGTACTATTAAGTTTTGATTTAAAGTTTGCTTGTTGTTTATTTTATTGTTTACAATAATGCTTTTTTGTTATTTTGGTATAATAAATAAAATACAGTTTTGAAATTTAATGTTTGGGTTTTTTTCTTTTTTCTGTTTCCTTTTCACAACATTTTTCGCTGGCTCTCTAGCTTTTACCTTTCATAATAAGTGAATATATAAATAATGTAATGTTTCAACTTTAAATTTTGTTTTTTAATATTTTTTTGCAGTTTTATTTAATTTTTTATTCGTACAGGTTTTTTATTTATAATTAAAATTCACAAAATACAATTCACAACTACTTTATGCTTATATAATAACTCACACCTGTATATACCTGCTGATTTTTTGTTTGCCTGGTTCATCCAATATTAACCATTTTGTATCTCGCGAACAATGTTGCACCGCATTGTAGGGTTAATACTAGTTTTTCATTGCAAACCCGTTATACTCACTTTCTTTATCGTATTTTCAAAAAACTTCACTTTATGTCTTTACATGCTATTAAACGAATTTTATTTAATATACTTTTATCTCACGTTGAATACTTTTTTTTGGTTTTACTCATACTAAATACTATATATACTTATATAAATATTTCATTAATTTTTTTTTGCTTAAAAACAGAAATAAAAAGTTGCTAAATCGTATACATGTTTGAATTGAATGTAAATGCTTAAAATCTGCGAAACCAGATGCTTTAAATTATTATTATTATTTTATTTGCTTTGTCATGCGCTTTGCTAAAATGTTTGCTTTTCTTTACAGTTATTAGTTTTTGCAGCAAGTAATCATATTTCAAAACATTATTCGTTACTGGCTCTTTCTCTCGCACTTATTATATAGATTTTAAATTTTTTCTCTCTCTCTTTACTTTGAATATTTCCTTCTCCATAAATTTCTAGCAATTTGCTTGTCAAATTTTATGTCAATCACATGTCAAATATAATGACATGTACTTACATATTCCATTTTTAGCAAGTAATCGGTTATGCATTACACTAAGAATTTACAGTTGCTGACTTCTTTTGTGCCTACTCCCACACTCTCTTAGTACATAAATTTTTTAACCAGCTTGTATAGATTTCAAAACTTTTTCACTTAAGTTTATTGATTTTTTAAAATAGCATAAATATTTTAAAATTGCTTACACATATATTACGTATGTTTACTTTTTTCAGTAAGTGTAGTATTGCAATAGTTTCATACACAATTTACCTGTTTTACATGTTTACAATTTGCTTAGCCTCTAAATTTGTATTTTTTGCTTGTTTTTGAATTAATTTTTTTGGTTTGTTACGTTTTACATAAACAGCGTCTTTTCAATTACGTATATTTGTTGCGATTTATCAAAGCTTATGCACTTAAGTTTTCCTTAAGTAATTACGTTTGTTTCTAATATATAAATGTATGTACAGTTGTAGCTTAAGTAAGCTTGTAAGCATTTAAGCTTTTAATCATATGTAAATATTGAACGACTGGCTTTTTATACAGCAATTCTTAAGCTTACGTTCGAGTGAAATAAAAAAATAATTGTTAGGAAGAAAGGATGAAGTACCCAGAAGTAGTCGAACGGTTTTACATTCGATGGAATAAAGCTGAAAAATAAACGAAGTGATGGCTCCAGAAAAAGTGGTGCCAAATTTTAAAATAATAATAGTGAAAGCTCCTATGAACTTTGGTTTGCAGTAATAAGGTTAAACGAGATTTTTAAAAACTTTCATCATCTAATATTAATTGGTAGAATAAAACCTACAGTGAAATTTGTAGTGTATATAGTGAATTGATTACAAAAAGACAGAAAAATTTCATATTATATCATACTATGCATTAAAGTAAACGCGATATAGCCACAGAAAACTGAATTAAGTGAAAGCTCTCGTAAAATTTATGACAAAACTTTTACGTGCGTAAGGTGAAAGCTCTAATGAGGTGTTGTTTTTGGACTATGGTATTGTACTTTCTACTATGCATAGATAACCGAAAGTTTTCCTTGTCAGCTGAAAATTGAATTAAGTGAAAGCTCTTGTGAAATGTAGTTCGAAACTTTTAAACTTAAATACCTCAATGTAATGTAATTAAAAATTTCAAACTTCAAAATATTAAACTTTTTTCTAATTCTAACTTTTATATTTCGTATTAAAATTTGTAATGCTTTCGTTTACTTGAAAACAGCGAAGAAAGATAATTGAAGTTGTAATAATATACATTTTTTGGAAGTTCTTCTAGTCAGAGCGGAGTTATGGCATACCAGAAAAAGGAAAGAATGGAATCACGCATAGTGAAAGCTTTCATAATGGTTCAAATATAAATCATCGAGCAATTTTAATAATATTTGCAGCTTTCTTGTACTTGTGGAAATTAAAAGTTTTGTTAGTAATTTTTCTTGTTGTAAATATTGAACAATCTGATATAGGAATATAGTTAAACCTCATAAATACTACAAATGTATTTTTTAAAAATTTCAATATTTGCACATCAGACGAAATTTTTTTGTTAAATTACTCATTATTAGCTATTTGAAAAGCTTTTTGGAAAATGATTGCATTTGGAAAAATTATGCAAGTTCGACTTCTAGAGCTTTCACTTTACAAAAGGAGGTAATTTGTCAAAACATTCATAATAACATATTTTTTTTTAAGTTTTACCTCCTAACCGCTTAGTAAGTATGTATGCCCAAGGTACCCTAATCAGGGAATTTCCAATAAATGCATTTTCTTCTTAATATATTGTATGTATATTAATAAACAATTGAACTTTACTCTACATTATTCTCACTTCTTTTACTACACACTTATTGGGAGTAATATAAATACAAATTTCACTCGATTTTATAATATATTCTTGCTTTTTTTACATTTGATTATAGGAGGAGGGTTATATCTGCCTTGTTTACGTAAGTTGAAGTAAGTCTATGCACATTGAAGAGTATCTAGTAGGTCTAATTAATATTTATACTCGTTTATACTATATATGCCAAGCTTATTTTTATGTCTCCGTATATCAACTTCAACAATATTTCACTGTTTTTTGTTTATTAGTATATTTTTACATATTTATGCTGTTAATTTATTTATATTCATATAAAAATTGGCTATTTAAATAATTTTCTCTTTATTTACTTTATATTAGGCTTACCAAAGAAGTGGAGAGCTGCAGTTCTGATGATACGTATGAATTATTTGTTTTTGTGTGGAGAAAAAAAATTATATTCAATGATAAAAAAAGTGAAGGAAGCAGATACTATATAAATAAATATTTTTACAAGTTAAAAATTTATAAAATTATTAAAAATGAATAAAATATTAGGAAATATTTGTATTAGTTAATATTATAATTTAAATTGTATTGTAACTATTAAATTTTCCATATATATTAAATAATATAAAAATTGTTCTTTACATTTAATAAAAATCCTATACATAAATATATCTCATTTCTAAAAAAATCTAAGCGACTAAAATTAAACATTTACACATATTTAAATTTATTAAAAAACTAACTGCATTAAATATAATTTACACTTAAAAAAACTAACATATCTGGGGACGCTTCTTCTGCCTTAAACTAAATTAATAATTCAATTACACAATGTAAAATAATTTCCAAGATTTTTTTTTGTTTTTGTTTTTAATTAATATACAAATGAGTTATTTTAAGTGCGTTGGAAACGTTTTTTAGTATTTTGCTGGGTTTTACTTTTTTGGCAAGGCTTTTCAAAATATATCTAATTTAAGAACATAGCGAATACCTTTCGTTTGATACCCATATTGTACTATTTTCTACCTCTTTATGCGCGAAGGTTAAAGCTAGGTCGATAGAACTCCAGATACACCTGGACACCTTTGAAAACCGCCTTCAGAAATATTTTTAAATTATAGACGTATCGAATACGTTTCATTTGATAGCCATATTATACTATTTTCCACCTCTTTATCCAGGAAAAATGAAGTTACTTCTCGAGACTCACGTATAGACCTTGACACCCGATTGTGGCTCCAACTTAAATTTTAGCCATCGACTTTCCTCATATCGGAAACATATTTTAGTATTGCATATAAATATCGCCTACTTAAAATTCGACCGAAATTTAAAAATCCAAACACAGAGCCCTTTCAAATTCCTTATTGTGTCTTCAATGTTGGGCAGCCGATGTTGTCTCAAGAAAATCTTATGAAATCATTCACCTACCAAACTACTAGGCGATCATAAATGCAAGGCAGCAGCAAAAAATTTGCAATGGTTGTGCAACTGTGTTTGGATGCATACACAAACACACACCAGATGAAGAAAATCGCTGAGAGAAAAATAAATAGCATACTTTTAGGGGTACAGCTAGTTGTCAATTCTGTGCGCCTGGTAGGGCGTATGTGTGAACGTGCAAATATTGAATTTTAAATTTTCATAAATCTATATGTGTGAGCTTGCGTGTCCTCGCTGGCTGTGAGGTGAAAATGCGCATGGAAGAAAAATGCTGGCTAGGTGACATACATATATACATATGTACATAAACGTAGGTGAATAAGTCAAGTATAAATAAACTCATGCTACATAATTTGTACAAATATCATGATATAAAAATTGTTTTTATTTACGAAAATCAATCAAAATCGCATAAAAATAAATTCTGAATAAATAAAAGAAATCGTTTGAAAACCAAATGAAATAAAAACAACTGAAATTATATTTTGTAAATAATTATTTTTTGTTTGCATTTTATTTAGCATTTTTAAATAAAAACAATAATCAATCGATAAAGTATAATCATTAAAAGATAAAGTATAAAATAAAATACACAATTTCAACTTTTCGACTGTTTAACTTAAACTAGGTGAAATTTAAATATAATAAAGCAAGAGAAAAGTTGTTCGTTCAGTGAAAAAACCGGCTGAGAGAGAACAGCCGCACAACTTTGAATGTGAGTTTCCAAAAAAATGGCTGCTGTTGAGTGTTTTAGGCTCAAAACAATATATTTAGTAATGTTTAATCCTTTCTTATATTATTTTTAATCTAAAAACAACCAAACCTACTCACATTCCGAAATTTTCAATAAATTTTCTTAATACAAACATATTATATATTTTCTTTCTTGCATAAATACTAATAATATTTAAATAAATTTTAATGCTTTGCAAATTCAATACAATTACTTTGCTTACGCTTATATAACTATGTACTTGTTGGCATAATATTTTTCATTAACACACGATTATAAAAAAATAAGTATTTTTTTTAACTTAATTTATATAATGCTTGACTACATGCAAATATGTACAATTTCTCTGCAGCAAGAAATACAAATGAAACGAAAAACAAACAAAAATACTTATTATTATTAATTCTTTATAAATGTAAACAATTAAACTTATTAAAAATACGTAGGAAATTCTTGTATGCGCTTAATTAAAAAATAGTTTTAAATAAAATTATTTTCTGTGGTTGTTGCGTCCGCCCAACGCAAGTACGTTTTCGGTTTTGGAAAATTAACGAAATGATTTTTAAGCAAACAAGTGAAATATTCACACAACTAGCGAGAATATTTTAATTTTAAAAATTAAATTGTACACAACTTTTTTTCTTCACAATATTGAACAGAATTTTGCTGTTGGAAGAACAATTTTTATGACATGAATATTTAATTTTAAAATCGTCCATAAATAAATAATAAACTTTTTTTCAAAATATTGAAGCGAATTTTCTTTTTTTTCAAATTAATTAAACATATTTTTTTTATAAACAATGAATTTTGATAAAAATACTAAGCATAATCTTTATGTTGAATAGTTTTTACTTTTAAATTAAACAGAATTTCTTGAAGAAAATTTAGTTTTAGAATTTTGTATAATTAAAACATTTTTGGAAAAATTGCAACACCATTTTTGTAATGGAAAAAGCTTTAGTTGCAGAAAATTTAATGTAAATTTTGTAGAAAGTTTAATTTATCTTTTTAATATACGTATTGAGTAAAAATTAAAAAATTGAAGGAATATTAAAAAAATTTTAACAAACAATTTTTAATAAAAATAAATTTTTTAAACAAAACACATTACGCTTGTTGTTGTATTAAAGTGCAGAAAATGAAATCTTCAATAAAAATAATAATTAAGGAAATATTTAAAAAAAAATCTTAAAAAAATTCAAAATTCTCAACAAATATTTTGAAAATAAGAAAATTCGCTTAAATTATGTATTCTCGCAAGTAGAGAAATAAAAAAATATCTTTTTCCTGCAATCATTATATAAAAATAGTTTTTTCTTCTAAATATTATGTAAATTTTTCTTTCAATTTTTATGCAAAGTAAAATTTTTTTCTTCCAAAAAATAAAAAAATATTGTGACAACACGTGTTTTTCGTATTAAAATTATTTAGTGCACTTTCATATAATTTCACTTGCAGTAATTTGCATTTTTGAACAAAATAATTTCGCGCGTATAATTTCTTAAATAATTAAATTTTATGCTATTAAATAAAAAAAACTAAAATTCAGTATTTACAGTTGGACATTATGTGCTTGCGCTAACTCGTTGGCATTTGATATTTCATAAATTAATCATAAATACTTTTCAGTGCAATTTTTCATGTCATGTGGATTATAATTTTTCATTTCAAACTCACAATGTGTGTTTTGCCATGATATTCCACAATATTTTTTATATTTAGCAATGCTTACATACAAACGCTACATACAGTTAGGCGTAATAAATGCTACAAATAAACATGAAATATATTTTACAAATGCTTTAAACGTTTACTACGTTTCTTTTCGTAATTATGCTTTTAACTCATCTCCGCTAACTACTTACACTTTTTGATATTCGATTTTCTTTGCTGGCAAATTTACATGCATTTTTTATGTAGATGTATAAGTAGTGTTATTGTTGTTATTATTATGATAACTTTTGTTTTTGTAATGCAATATGGCATTGGCGTTTTTGGCAGTGGCGATTTTCAAGCAATTTCGGTGGCAGGGAAATTGAAAATCGTTTTAGTTTTACATTGTTTTTCTCTACCCTGTCGGTTTTTTTGTTTTTCCTTTTCATATGCATTCCGTCAAAATTTTCATAATTTAAATATTTTATGCGGGTTTCTACACAATTCGTATATTTATAATATTGTGTTCCTCTTTATTAGTGAAATATATTTATTTATTTTTATTTTTTTAATATTACTTTAAATCAGTCTATTTGAGTAGAGAGTTGAAAAATGAATTAGGAATAAGTGAAATGATGTTAATAGATTTTTTTATAAAATATGTTTTATAGAAAAACTGTTTTTTCGCGCGCATTTCATGTGCTTTTCGTATCGCTTAACCCTTTTCTAACTTTTCAACACTTCATTTGCTATTTTAAAATTTTTCATTTGTCTGCTTTTTGTTATATATTTTTTTATTAAGAAGAAAAAAATGGTGCAGCAAGATCAAGTTTTACTCCATAAGCTATTGACTATCTTTGCTTTAATTCATTTAGTGATATTTTATAGAAATTGTGCTTTGTTGTTGTCTCATACATTTTCAATTTTAACTTATTAATTTTTTTATTTTGATTTATTTTTTTTAAATATTTTTTTCTTTCAATGAAAATGGACTAGAATTATATAGTTTAGCTTGCTTACTCGTTACTTTATTACATATTCGTTTAAATTTATGTATTTAAATATGTTATTATTGTACAACTATAAACTAGCAGAAAGTAATATGGCGCATTGTTGTTGTAACTCTACAACATTAACACTACGCAAGCGCTTTAAAGCGCAGGCGCCAAAGTGCGCAAACTTAAAGAAAAATGCAACAATGCAATCGCTTGCATTTAGAGCTGCGAAAAACTGCTCGTCGACACCCAGTGCGCTGTATCTGGCCGTACCATTAACTATATAGGACCATAGTCGCTCAGCGCCTGCCCGGGGTGTTGCGCGCCCGGCCCACCAGGCAACGTAACGACCACGGACACCGCGCGTGAATCAATCACCGAACCGGGTGCCGTACTGGGACCATTACCACCGCCATTGCCGCTCATGGGGCCCATTGGACCACCGCCACCGCCGCCATTACCATTGCCATAAACGCCAGGCATACCCATATTACCGGGCGTTGCCACGCCCATACCACCGCCGCCGCCACCGTGCAACATACTGCCAGGAGGAGCCCCAACACCAACACCACCACCGCCGCCAACCGTACTATTGCTCATACCCGCTGTGCTCATCAGAGTACCGTGTCCGCCCAGCACGCTGCCACCGCCAATTGTACTGCCGCCGCCGCCGCCACCACCACCGCCCATTGTTGAAGCTCCGCCTGACTCTCCATGTCATACGTGGCTTGCAGCCGGTTGTTTAAGAACATGATGGTGCAAATGGTGATGGCTGGTGGAGGCAACCGATGCGCCACCCGCTTGTGTGTATGGTGTTGCGAGTAGCGAACCGGCCGCCGAACCCACTGGCATACCCATGCCGGAGCCAGCATACGGATGCGGTATGGGCGGTCGCGGTTTAATGAGTGCCTGATTGGCGCCAGTGCGATCCGGTGCGCCGAAGAGACGACGCCAAAAGCGACGCCAACTCTCCAACGTCTTACCGGACCAGATCCAAACGCCCGATGTAATACCAACTGCCAAGGCCATAAAGTATTTCAGCATTAGTACTGAGTACAATGGTTTCTTGCCAGGACCTTTTGTCTGTGCACATGGGCAGGCGAGCGCTTTGATCCAGTCTTCGAAGTAGGCGGCCTCATACAGGTAGCATCCGATTACGATGGTTGCAGGGACGGTGTACAGGACGGAAAATATGCCAATACGTATCATAAGTTTTTCCAGTTTGTCCGCCTTAACGCCAGCGCCAACACCGCCTTGCTGCTTGATAACGGAACGTATGCGGAAAAGTGAAACAAAGCCCGCCATTAGGAAGGTGGTGCCGATGACGAGGTATACAAAGAGCGGTGCCAGCACGAATGTCTTCAGATGATCCGGATTGAGATTGCCTACATAGCAAATGCCGAGTATGGGATCACCGTCAACAGCTGAGAGCAGCAAAACGGCTACTGATTGCACTGTGGGTATGAGCCAGGCGGCTAAATGAAAGTACTGCGAGTGTTTGGTGATGGCTTCATTGCCCCATTTAAGACCAGCGGCCAGGAACCAAGTGAAGCTGAGCACTACCCACCAAATGGATGAAGCCATGCCGAAGAAATACGTCATTAGAAATACCATAGTGCATGAATGTGGTCCAGCGGAGCTCTCCTTCAAGTAGCGACCATCGCAGGCGATCTCTTCATTCTGCAGAAAGTTCTTCGATAGATAACCAACAGCTACCATAAAGTAGCAAGCGGAGAGAAAAACGATCGGGCGTTCGGGATATTTAAACCTTTCGGTGTCGATAATGAACGTGGTTAGCGTCATGAGTGTGCTGCAGAAGCACAGACCCGACCACAGGGCGATCCATATGCCGGCGAAGTCCTTTTCGTCGTTTGTGAAGAACGGGCCCTTGCAGGGGATCGCGCAATTTGGTACGTCGGCGATTCTTTGTACAGTTGAATTCATGTACCACGGGTAATGCATGTGTGGTGGCTGCATTAGCGCTTCCTTCCCCAGGAGTAGGAGTGGCGGGCGACACGAGCACGTGCAATCCTTTGCGTTTGTTCTTTCTCCTAGGGAATTTTGGCAGTTTTTTGAATTTTTGCCTTTGCATTTTTGTGAAGTCGAGCCACCGGAACCAGACTGCTTGCGTTTACCACCACCGCCGCCACTGCCGCTACCACCACTGCCACCGCTGCCGCCCGAGCCGCTGCCGGACGTGCCATCACGGCCCGAACCACCGCTGCCCGACTCCGTATACGATGGCTGTTCCATGCACAAATTCTCCGGATCGCCATGCAAAGGCAAGTGTTCGCAAGCCATACGCTCAGGCCACTGGAAACTATATTGTTGCATGATCGGCGCACAACCCGAACGTGCGCGCTCACAAACCGAACGACAAACCGGTAATGGTTTGTGATAGTCCTCCAAACAGATAGGCGTGTACATAGAACAAAGGAAGAATTTCAAATCTGGCGAGCATTTGATCTCAACGAGTGGCCAAAACTGATGCACTTCCAAACCAGCTTCATCCTGTGTTTCGTGATTCATTTCATTCGGAAAGGAGGTCATATTGTAACCAATACCGCGACACATTGGTATAGTGATCTCTTCGCAGCGTGAATTCGGATCTTTTGGTATGGCGGGTAGGCCATAACCCGGCGCGGGACTAACATCCATTGAATGTGGACCCATGCCGCCCATGCCAACGCCGCCGCCGCTATCCGCGAGATGTTGCATGCCGTCCGCATGACAGTTATGTGTGTGTAGCAGCAGCACGATGCTGAGCGCAAAGACAGAATTGCATAACGCAAGCGGATGCCGTCGCGTCGTCTTACTGTTGTGTACCGTTGTGCGTGACATGACGTCTGTATGTGTTTATATTTATGTGTGTAAGTTTTTTATTTAAATATTTTGCACGAAACTTATGCTCATGCGAGTAAGTCGCTCCAAAGCGGCGCTGTGTCCAACAAAATTGTAGTTTTAAGAATGAGTTGCGCTTGTTAAAAACTTTCAGTTGTCTATGACAGTTGACAGCCTACAGCTGACTGAAGACAGTTGACAGCGCAAATGTGTAGCAAAGTTAGTGGCTGTAGCAATGCCAGAGACGTGCGCTGTACGTACGAATGCTTAAACCGCAGGCGCAGCACGTTGTCAAATCAGCGCTGGGCGACAAATGAAGGATAACTGCAAAGAGAAGAGCATACAAGACGCAAAAATTAATAAATATTTCAACAACAAGAGAGCAGGGGTAACTAAGCGCTTATGTTTTTTTTAGATATATATATTATTTTATGTTAAGTATTTACTTAGTAACCACAAACGATTAGCTTGAGTCCGGATGCTGTGCGCGCGCGAAGCTCCAGAGGATGACAACAAACAATTGAGCCTAAATCAACAAAAACCTATTAAATATTGAAAAGAGGAAACTCACACACAAGCCCACATATTATATATATATAATTAAATACTAGCAGCTCCAATATTGTTTTTCTTACTTCCATTTCATTTGTTTCAATTCAAAGCAAACAGGCGGCGAAAGTGGCAAGCAAACACTTGGTCATATTCCACATGCAGGGTGAGAGACCAGTAAACTATGAAAGGCAAGCAATAAACTATGGCTGAGGTTGCGAATAGCAAGTTGCTGACCTTAGCGCTGCCTGCTTTTAACCCCTTAAAGCCACGGTAGTTGCCATATGTCCGTATATTCAAACAATAGAAGTGATAGAGAATTTCACACTTGCGATTAAGCGCACACATACATTTAAAAGTTATTTACATTTAAATTCACTTTGACTGGACCAGATGATGCTCTGCCTATGCCACACTGCTTAGTTGTGCCACATCAATCAAAATCAGTGATTTCGATTAAATTTGACAGCCACAAACGGCTGCTGTTACACATTAACACCGCTATATGGCGCGTTTTTGGTGGTGAAATAAATTAACTAACAGCGAGTAAGAGCGTAGATTATGGCGCGTTTTGAACTGTGTGTGTGCACGCGCGCGTTAAAGTGTATTTCTAGCATGAATTTGCGCTTTTTTCTTCAATTCTTTGAGGTTTTGTTGCACCAGAAAATATGATGCGTTGTGTGTATGTGTGTGCACGCGTGTGCTGATTGGATGAAACTAAATTAAGAAAATTGTTCATTTTGCAGCTTGACAGCTCAGCGTTTTGTTGATATTGCAGTGGTCAAGTATCTATATATACATATGTAAGTATATATATTTATATACATACATATAAGACGGCGAGTGAGTTATATGCAGGGTGTTTTCGCACAAAATATTTAATTTGTTTTATTTTATCGCATAGAAAATCGTTTTCCATAAGTTATTAAAATCAGACATTATATATGTAGGTATATATTTTTTTGGCTGAAACTTGGTACAGATTTGTGAACGCGAACTTATTAGATTAGACGAATAGTAAATAAATAAATGTAGATTAATGTTAAAGTGAAATATTTTCATACAAAACCAGGAAAAACGTTAACTTCAAAATATAAACGATCAAAGCTTTGAGAGTTTGAAAAAATATGATTTTATGTTAAATTTTATAGTATTGAGTGGAGCTGTTTTACTTGTTTATTGTTATATAGGTTGATATCTATTAATATACAATATATAAAGATATTTATATCGCACGACTTTTAGCTAATATTTTATGGATATTGAAAAGAGCTTGTATACCTATAACGACGATTATGTTCATATATTGTATATCACTTGAGTGCTGGTAAATGTTATGAAAAGTGACACTTGTGGTTAGAAAATTACATTCGTCAATAATTTGTGCTTAAAGCCAGATGTAACACCTTTCCCTGCAAAATGGTGTATATGCCGATAAGATTGACGATATAAAATATAAAAAATATATTTATAAGTGCCCCAGATGTTACTAGTGCTCAATCTTTGAAGATATGCAAATATATATACTAATAAAAAAATATACTTGTAAGTATTAATTACACGCTGCGGTTTAACTGTCGAATACGAACGTGCTATAGAAACTTATGCGCACGTCGTGACTGTTTGGTGGTCAAACCGCAGCTGAGTGACAGTTGTAGGGCAAAGTGACAGTAAGACTATAGTTAAACATTTATTTAATACAAAAAATTTACTTACATTAAATAAATTAAATCGATAATTAGGCTACTGTTCACCTTCAAATGAGTTATCATATTCTTGGCAGAGTCCAATAAGTAGTGTGAGAAGTGATATGACAACTGACAGTTGACAGCTGACAGCATAGGTGAGAGATTGAGCAAAAACTTGCGTACTCATTGTAATATTGTAAATTTATATACAAATAATAAAAGTTGCCCTACTTAAAAATTTAATTAAATCAAAAAATAGTTGAGAAATCAATTTGCTAAATTAAACTTTCAACTTCTGCTTTGCAAAGTTTTCTATTGTAATCCCTGCTAAAACGTACATTGACCAACCGATAAACCTACTAAGGTTGAACACTCAAACTTTTGCAAGTCTAGCGCCTACTATGCACCCACCTACCCCTTCCTTATGGACCCACAAGCCAAACTCATTGAGCGTATTTATGTAAATAGCTAGAGCGTAGCCGGCTTAAAGAACGGCCAACGTAAAGTAACAATAGGAGAGCAGGCGAAAAGCTGTCAATGGTAACAGCTGTAATACGCAAACAACAATAGCAAATAATAAACGGTGACTGCAAAGAAAATAATATAAGAAAAGTGGGTAGAAGAGAAATCGAGGAATATGCGAGTATCCGAGTGGCAAACAGCGGCTGTAATTGTGTATATTTTGCCAAGTTGACACTTCGAAAGCTGTCACACAGACACAAACCTACCGTTATGCATGTAGCACAAATGAAAATTTCGCCCTCTGCAACTGAATTGTTGTGAAAAGCGTGGCGAGAGTGTTTGGCAAAAAAGGCAACAAGCGCAAAGAGGGTGAAAAACGGACAGAGCGTGGCAAGTAAATAATAAAATGCAGCAACAAAAAGCATTTAGTGAATCAGCAGCAGGCAGAAGGCTAAACGTAAACTGTCAGTGAGGGCGCTAAAACACTGAATGACTGACTGACAGGGGGTGAAATTGGTAACTTGCGAAGGCGACCCTAGAATTACACTACTTTTCGGTGACTATGACCCACACGCACACAAACATTCAAATTAAGAAACCAAGTGTGTCATTGTATGCATGTATTCGTTGCTTTCTCCTTCACTGGGTGGGTGACTGGTTCACTGGCAATAGAGTGTATGTATGTATGTGTGTTCATGTATGTATGTATGTTTTTGTACCCACAATAGCCGCAAATGATGCTGTGTCTGCACAGCTGTCAGTTGATCTCCAACTATACGGCACGTTGTGGCAAGTTGATGAAAGTGCTGTGCACTAAATGTAGGGAAATTGTTATGATCTCGCAGTGACTACATATATATATATATATATATTATATGTATGTATGTATGCACATGTTTGTAGCTGCTGAAGTTTTTCAATTCAGTTGAGCTACAAATGACAATGCTGCTGTAGATGATTATGTTAAATTTGAATGACATTTTAATTAATAACATTTGTTGACACTAAACAATTTACATGCATACACATTCATACATTACAAACATTCAAATAAGTTCTGCACAAAGTGGCACTACAACTGCCACTAAAATGTGTAGAGAGCTGCTTTTTGGGGGGTTTCCAAAATGTGTTTTCGAAAACGCTCGCATTTTTTTGTTGTCTCGAAATCTTGTATAGTTGTAGTTGTTTGCGCAGCGTGTGCACTCGAATTTATGTTCTATTATTTGTTGTGCAATTAATAATGCAAATAACAGCTGAATATGTTGAGTGTGTCGCATGATTGTGTGAGACAGTGTAATTCAATATTTGGAGCTGGGGAAATTAAATTTTACAGGGTGTTAGTAAAATTTGCTTTGAGTTTATATATAAGTGCATTCGGAAGTGGCGAAGTACTGCTGAGTGCGAGATTATTTATAATGAATAAAATTCCGAGTCTATTAGATACTATTATTGTGCCGATTAGACTTCTCGGTTAGACTTTCTAAACCCAGGAAATGAAAAACCAATTTTAAAATTTTTAAAAAAAGTTTCAGTTTGCTCGAAAAGAAATTTTTTTCGCTAAAAATATAGAGTTCACCGTTATAGAAAAACTAATAATAGTTAAACGTGTGTATTTACATTGGGATTTTTATTTATATATATATATAAAATAAAATAAAAGTAAAAAGAAACACAATTATGTAAAATAAAGCCAAGAAAAATATTATTCAAATATGTAATAAAAATATATAAAAAAATGAGAATAATAAAATAAAGTAAAATCAACTACGTTTAAATAAAAGTCTAATAAAATTAATAAAAAGTATGAGTACAATAAAAATAACAAAAAAATTCTTTTAAAATTACTACTTCAAAATTTTTTTTCATGTCTAAATAGACTTAATAGGTAAGTATTGTATTTTTTTTTATCTCCTTTCTCTGCAGTTTTGAAATCTTAGTCACTTTTTCTAGCGTCTTGCAATAACGAAAGATTACTTCTTTAATGGCACTCCACAATGCTCACAAAAAATATCACAAAATCATTATTTATCTGTAAGGCATGTTTATACAGTAATAATTGTGTAAAAGCAAATAACAGCGTGAAATATGAACCTGGCCTAAGCATCGGCTAAGATACTAAAAAAAAATAAAAACTGCTCAACAAGAAAACCAACAAATCACAAAAACGCATGGCAGGCAGAGTTATAAACAATGGGAAACACACATACACTTATATATGAAAATTGAGAAAATCTGCAGAAACACTTAAACGTCAAAACGTGACCAAATGCTTTCAAGTATCAAAAGCATGATTAGGGAAAAAATTACTGCAAAGCAAAAAAGAAACAATAACACAAAAACTGAGAACTAACTCGTGAAACAATAAATAAGAACCAAAAAACGCCAGAACACAGAGTTTTAGAAAAAAAGCAACAATTCCTCATATTGCTTGCAAGTTGTTGCACAGCTTAGTTGCAGCATTGACGCCGCATAACATAACTTTGGATTAGTGCAAACATAATCAAGTTGGCTGTAAAACAGAAACGATACAAACATTTGTGGCAAGTAATGTGCGCTGGCTGCTTTTAAGGTGCAGCGAACACTTGAAGAAGACTTGGAGAATGCAAACGAAAATAGAAGCACAGT